AATCCTACTTCCGTAGTGATACTGCCTCGGAAACCCAAGGAGGGGTCGCTATGAGTCGGGGCCGACTCGACGGCAAATAACAACAACAACAACAATAGGATTCCAACAATTATTTTTGAGAGGCACAGTTCAATCCATAACAGGCTGAAATTACGTCAGCACACAGTCATTCTCAATTCTTTCATTTGAAACACTGCATGTACTGTCTAGAGTAATGTATATCCTATTCAGGGCCCTAAGATCAATATTCATAAGAATTAATGAGCCCCACTGGGGTCTTTGTTCATATTGTTTTTCAACCTTGTATTAACAGACAAATTTAATGCTTTCTGGATCAATGCCTATATAATAGGTGAAAGAAACTTGACTTGGTCTTCAGATGTGAGCAAACCTCTATATCTTAACAGCTTTCCTGTTTTCAATTTGACCTACTTAATCCCTTTTCTTCTGTTCCTGACCTCACTGCTCCTTTTACTTCTATCCTTGGAGAGACATACCCAGAATGTGCAGCTCAACTGTATGGACTCAAGGGACCTCAGCACAGAGGCCCATAAGAGGGCTGTCAAAATAGTGGTATCTTTCCTCCTCCTCTTCATGTTCACTCTTCTTCCAATCTAACAGCAGGTTGGATTTTTCTTACACTGCAGAAACATGAAGCCAATTTACTTGTTATGTTTACATCATCTGTTTTTCCTTCAGGCCACTCATTTATCCTAATTCTGGGAATCAGCAATCTGACTGTTTTAAGACTACTGAGGCATCTTAAATGGCATTTGAAAAAATGGCTTTAGCTTCATAAGCAGACTTTTCTAGAATTTTTTTATGTTCTAGAGAAACTAGATTAATGAGAAACCTTTCTGGATCAATTTTAACTTCTATTGCTGTCACTAGAATCTTTCAGGTATTACTGAACACTACTGAAATTTTCCCCAGAATGGGCCATAAACTCACAATTTACTCACATAGTCAGATGACATAATGCTGGATTTTTTTTTTTTTTTGGTAGAGCATTGTTGTCATTATAATACTTGCTACCAACAAGAAGGGAGCTCTGGTGGCGTAGTGCCTAAGGCATCTGACTGCTAACCAGAAGGCTGGTGGTTCAAATCCACCAGCCACTCCTTAGAAGGAAGATGGAGCAATCTACTTTGGTAGAGATACCGCCTCAGAAACCCAATGAGGGGTCGCTATGAGTCAAATAGACTCAATGACAGTGAGTTACCAACAAGAAAATATTTGAGACTAAAGAAGAATATAAAATATAAATGCAACATACATTAATTTTATATGTACTGTTAAATTACATTGGAAATTACAGCTGAGGACCAAAAAAACCAACACGATTATCTAAAAATGAAAACACTCTCCAAATGTGAGTAACTAGAGCATTGCATGAAAAATAAATCAAGGAATAAAAATGCTGGAAGCACAGCATCTCATGACAGCAGACAGAACTTTTAAAACAAAAGCGCATTCTGTCATTAGGTGTTCAAGTTTGAATAGGTACTGACTTTGTAGAATAAGAGAAAATTAAGCTATATTTGAAAAATGAAAGTGAAAAATAAAATCTCAAATTATGACCATTTTCGACTTCTAAGACAATCTATTCATTTTGCTAATTGCCAGCTCAAGAAATGTGTAAAACACATTTTCATAATGGCACAAATCAACTGAGTTTATAAATTGCCAATGTTTTTAATTTAGAACTAGGAATGAATGAGATAATTATCCCTAAGTGCTTAAGAGTACTTCTATTTCCATTGTACAAGTATCAAAATCACACTTCAACACCGAGTTTATGTGTATACATAGGTGTGCATATGTAAGGGGTATATTTTGTCATACCATGAGTACTACTCACAGAAAACAACCAACTCAGGGAGAAGTATAGAAAGGAAAGTTTACAAGAGAATATTACACATTGTGTAAATTTTAGATATGTTTATGTGTATATATAATGCTACTGTAACCTTCATTATATAATAAATCAAAGTAGCTGAAAATGTAAATATCAAGGCCAGGAGCTAGTAAAATTGTGAATATAATGGTTTGTAAGAGAGTGATTTTTAGAGATTATAAATGTAAACATATTAAAAAACTACCTATAATGAGAAATCTTTTCTAGGGCTCACAATTGCCATAATCTTTTGATGGTAGAAGCAAATAAAAGTAAAAAAAAAAATTGTTGAAAATATGTGGTTGTAAATTCATTTTGATGGAGTAGTATGTCACATCTGATGATGAGAAGAATGAAAAAGGCTTTTGTAAAATGGCCTTTAACTGCAGGAAACTATGCTGTGAGCACAGGTGTACAGTGCTATTCCCATGTGCTCATGATGATGATAAATGTGTATTCAGATCTATATGGAGATTTAGATTTTAAAAACTGTTTTCATTCTTTTGGACACTACCTAAGAAATTTCTGAATAATTATATAATTGAGATTATTTTGGTTTAGGAAAGGTGAAATTTAAATGAAACTGGCCATATTTAGGCACAGACACTTGAGGACAATTTGGTTTCAGTAAAAAAGTTAAAACGTTATTTTGCACTTACATGTTCTAAGCACATTAAATTTTGCTTTTCAGATTCACATCTAGTGTTACTAAACTTTTCTTTAATAACCAGTATATAAGAAATTGAAACAAGCCCTTGCTTCTTTTAATGGAATTTAGGAGTAAATGTCTCACTA